CTCTCGGTTCTTCCTTCAAAATAATTACAAAGAATGGTTGAGTTACGGAAGCGCAAAGCTCTCACAGAGCCTTCTAAACCTGTTGAGACAAACATCAGAGCCAAAAAAATCAAGAAAACGCCGATCGAATCTGATATTACTGCTTCTACTGCTTCAGCACCCACAAAAGAGCTTACGAAGACTGAGGCGACAGCTGTGACTCCGTCACAGAGGAAAGTACTAAAAGTTGGTGACACAATCAACCTTGATGAGATCGGAGTGAATATATTGACTCATGATGGAACTTCAACAACACTGAAGTTTCTGATTGAGCAGAGCACCTCAGGTGTTGTTTTGTTTACCTATCCTCGCGCCTCAACACCGGGTTGTAAGTGAATCTCTTTTCTATATTTTACTTGACTTGGACATGAGCGGGCGGGGTGGTTCACTCTTTGATGATTATGAGTTCTCTCTGATAGTATATATAATCTCCCTTCCAAAACCTGCTGAACCGGGCTAATAAATGATTGAATTTAAAGGCACAACCCAAGCCTGTCTTTTCCGCGACCGTTACGACAACCTTACATCCACAGGATTGTCGATTTTTGGACTTTCAACCGATTCCCCCAAAGCCAACGCGAACTTCAAATCCAAGCAGAATCTCCCGTATCCTTTGCTCTGTGATCCAACCGCCAGTTTGATTGATGCTCTCGGTTTGAAGAAGGTGCCCAAGGGAACTGTTCGCGGAGTATTTGTAGTGAGCAAGACAGGCAAAGTTCTTCTTCTAGAACCAGGAGGACCGGCTGCCACTGTAGATGCTGTTCAGAAGATAATGAGAAGCAGTTAGAGATTAATCTTATTTCTTTCCTTTTAAGTCAAAATAATTCTTGTAGTGTTTATTAGCTTCAGAGTGTTTAAAATTTGAAAGAAGTGATTAATTTTTATTCATTCTATATTCTGAACTGCTTGTTACCGCAGCTAATACGGGATAAAGATTGATCCACTCCACTCTGAAAAATTGATTCATTTCAATCATCAATATTCAGTTGCTCTTTCATTTCACATTCTAGTTCTCAGTTTAGTATTCTCATTGTAGGTTATCTATTTTATAAATGAAC